GAGGGGAGAACCTTTCCCTTTCAGCTGCTTGGAGTGATCTAGCATCATACTTTCTCCCCCCACCTTCCCCTAGCCCCCCACCCATCCTGAACACCTTTTACAGTTTTTTTCCTTTCCAGAGCAAGGCCGCTATGGGTGTTTAAAGCAACGGGCTCTTTCCTGGGGTTGAATCAGCGCTGCATTTAGAGATCCCTTTTATTTCTTCCCTCCGTCACAGAGGCTGGAAGGAAGGAAAGGCTGGCCTCGGGTGCAAGGGGGGGGAGTGGAAGTGGGGAGAGGCCCTCGAGCGCCCCAGGCCTGCTTCTCCGCGCCGGATTCTCCCTTTTCTAACCGACGGTCGCCCCTTGTCTGTCTGCTTCCCCTCCGCAGCGCGCCATGCCGTCCATCAGCAGCGAGAGGGCCGCCCTGTGCGCAGGCTGCGGGGGCAAGATTTCGGATCGCTACTACCTCCTGGCGGTGGACAAGCAGTGGCACATGCGCTGTCTGAAGTGCTGCGAGTGTAAACTCAATCTGGAGTCGGAGCTCACCTGTTTCAGCAAGGACGGCAGCATCTACTGCAAAGAAGACTACTACAGGTAAGGGCGCGCTCCCGTGCGGTGTGGAATGGATAGAGTCGTCCAGGGCTAGGACTCGCGTGTGTGTGTGTGTGTGGGGGGGTGTTGGGGAGCTGGGTTCGAATCCCGGCTCTGCTCTGAAAGCTCACGGGGCGATTGGAATGGGTAAAACTACCCCTTAAATACTTATCTTGCTTCGAAATCCTTGCTATAAGTCGCCTCCGACTAGAAAAGCTCATAACAAAGGCAGACGGTTGGGTAGATCGCCTCCGCTCCCTGGGTGGGGGGGGCAGAAGAAAGAGGCCAAGCCCCCCCCCCCGGCTTCTTGCCACTCCTAAACCCAAATCCCTTCCCCGCGCGCAAGCCTCACCGAAAGGAGGGCTGAATCCGCTGCGGGGTGTCCGAAACCGGATTGTCCCGCTCGTGAGCCATAAAGAGGTCCCTCTGATCTGGTGAAACCCGGAGGCGGGTTCTCCCACCGCTCCCCAGTCTCCTCCACCAGCCTGCCAGGCCATGTCGCCCTGCGCACAATATTCAGCCTTCTGGCCAGCATCCTATAGAAGAAAGAAGGACCTTCGACCGGTTGGGAATGTAGATTTCTCTACATTTATTTGGAAAACAACACAAAGCAAACCCAGCCGAACTCTAAACCGCAAAAGGCACGTTTTTCGGGGAAGAGTTTTCTTGGAGCATCCGCTCCCTCCCCGCACACGCAAGGAAGGGTGCCCTTCAGGAGAAGCTCAGGATGAAGAAAAGAAAACATTTTGCCCCCTTTCTTTCCCTTGGTTGATCTTTATGGTTTCTACAGAAGCCTCGAAATTTCTGTCCTGAATGAGAAAGGGGAGGGGGGGGGAGGCTGCGGTAGGGAATCCAAGAACTCCGGTATTGAGAAGGGTTCCTAAGGGTCATCTAGTCCAGCCCCACGGAGGCAGGAAAGCCAACGCTGAAGCGTCTGGGACGGAAAGCCCTCCGACCTCACTTTCACGCCAGGCGGGCACTGTCCCGGCAAAATTAGGAAAGCGGTGTCTTCGCACTCTGCACATGTTCAGTGCAGTTTGATCTTGGGTGTGTGTGTGCTCCCTTTGAGACTTCTGTCCTCCCCTAGGAGAAGTCCAAGGGGTTATCATGTCTAGGGGCCGGGATGCTATGGCTAACTTCAACCGGAGTAGACCCCTGGACTCACAGGAGTGATCATTTTATCTACAGCGACTGGTTCTGTTTCAGACCAGCAGCAAGGGGATCCTGGGCCGTATAGAGATCGGCTGCCTCAGGATGCGCAACGGGGGAGGCAGGGGATCCTATGGACTGGGCGCCCCCGGCTTCTCATTCTTACTGCTCGGGGTTTTCTCTCTCCCCGCAGGAGGTTCTCCGTGCAACGCTGCGCCCGCTGCCACCTGGGCATCTCGGCCTCGGAGATGGTGATGCGCGCCCGGGATTTAGTCTACCACTTGAACTGTTTCACCTGCTCTACCTGCGCCAAGATGCTGACCACGGGCGACCACTTCGGCATGAAGGACAACCTGGTCTATTGCCGGCTCCATTTCGAGGCACTGCTCCAGGGCGAGTACCAGCTGCATTTCAACCACGGCGAGGGAGCCGGTGGTGGCGGTGGCGGCGGCGGCGGTAAAGGCGGTCCGGGAGCTCTGGGCGCTGCCACCCCGCTGGGACTGCCTTATTACAACGGGGTAGGCACGGTGCAGAAAGGGCGGCCCAGGAAGAGGAAAAGCCCCGGGCCCGGCGCGGATCTGGCGGCCTACAACGCAGGTAAGGAACTACTCTCCGCTTTAGGCGCTGGACGTCGCGGGTTCGATTCCTGGCCGGGGGTGGGGAAGAATCTGGATTGAAACTCAGGGCATTGAAACACGGAGGGCGCGGGGAGGGGGAGGACAGGCTAAGGCTGGTGTGTGTGTGTGTGTGTGTGTGTGTGTGGTGGGTGGGTGTGTGTGTGTGGGTGTGTGTGTGTGTGGGCTTGGATGAAAACCTGGCTCAGAGAGGGGGAAAGATCTCCGTGCGTACGAGGAGCTATTGCGCACCGATTCCGTTGCGGAAAGCCGGCGCCTGCAGACCCTGCGTGGGTTGAACGGGTTTCTGAAACCAGGCCAGGCCCGAACGAGAGTTTCGCCTTGTTGTGTGTGCTTGTGTGTATGTCCCCGACAGGCGGAAATCGAGATTTTCTGGAGTCTCCAGCTGAGATTGTTTTTTTGGTCCCCTTCAACCCCGGAGCGTTGCCTGGTGGAAGGCTGAACCGGGGCACTGGCTCCTGGCCCCGGGCGAGCAAGGGGTGGCTGTGTTTTTCTGGTTGTGGCTTTGGGATTGTGTGTGTGTCTGTACGTGCGCGCGCGGCTACAGTAAAAAAAAAACAAAACCGCTCAGATTGTTTGCTGTTCGAAAGGGAAGGCGCGGGGAAAAACATTAATTTTTATTTTATTAACCAAGAAACGGAGAAAAAGCTTGTTGAAAAAAGGCGAGGCAACTTTTTAACCGGGCGCAGAGGCGACTCCGTTGGCCGAGCGTGGTTTGTTCCGCCTTTGGAGAGGAAAGGTGTTGAAAGGGGCTGAGGGCTTGTGGGGGGGCGCGGGAAAGAGGAATAATCCTGAAAAGGGAAGTGAGAAATCGGGGGAAAAAAATGATGGGCTTAGAGCTAGTTTGGGCTTAGAGCGATTTGAACGCGCATCTTTCCCCGTGGCTGAAAAACCTCTTCGTTTCCCCTGCAAGGCGAGGCAGGAGTGAAAACATAATAACCTCTTAAAACAGGTCGCCAGCGTGGGAAAGGCAATGCTTCTTGTCTGGACGAAAAAATAGCCGGTCCCGATGGAGGGCCTTCGTTTCTCTGTTTCTCCCGCCGGCCTTCGCTTTTTCAGACTATTTCCCCCCCCCCCCCACCGCCCCGAAGGTCTGGTTTAAGCACCGGAGTCGGAAGACGCGGCGGTTCTTTGTGTGAAACCCTTTCCTCTCCAGAAAAAGATGGTCCCGGGCGAGGAAACGCAAAACCCACGCAGAAATGGTTGAGGACTTAAAAAAATTATTCATACTATTTGTAAATTGTCCTAGTGAAGAACAGTTCTTTCTTTCTTTCTTTCTTTCTTTCTTTCTTTCTTTCTTTTCTTTCTTTCTTTCTTTCTTTCTTTCTTTCTTTCTTTCTTTCTTTCTTTCTTTCTTTCTTTCTATTTTCAAAGTCCCATTCTGAGATGATAATATATATTAAATGGAGAGAAAAATAACTCGTTCCTAGTTTTTTAAAGGAGACA